TCGTTTATATCTTGACCAATATTTATAAAAGTCTTGATGAGCAATTTCGACAGTTTGTTCATTATAGGGCCCCAAGGGCAATCTTTTGCGACTGATGAAATCTTTGATGTGGTAGAAGACGATGTGAATTTTGTGTTATGCTTTTTTTTTTCTTTAATTTTATTTAGGTGCCCCAAGACTTTCTTATGGTCTTATCACAGAGCACCGCGGATGAGCATTTAATTGAAAGTTAACGCCTCCTTCTTAACCAATGTCGCAAAACTTGCCCATAGGTGGGGTTTGAGCCACCGATCCTTTGTTTCTGAGGCAAATATATAAAGCTTGCATCAGTTATTTTTAAGTAACACCTTTTAAAATTTTTAACTGTTTCAACCAAATCCGCCTGAAGGATAAATCTAAAGCAAAATTTTAGAATTAAATTGAAACTGAATTGAATGCTTTAATTATGTAAAGAATGTTGGGAACCGAGTTTGTATCAGCAAAATCCTGAAGAACATCCACAATTTCAAGAAGCTTCCTGCATTCATTTCCCTCGAACTGGCCCTCACGACACGAGCTCAGTTAAATATAGAGGGCAGCTGGCCCCATAGCAACTTTTATCCAAGCAGTTTTAAGTATCGTCAAAAGATGATTGACAACTTCTATAAGGAGATGCAATTCAATCGGTGGGATTATTTCCAAAAACATTGTCAGGCCCACTGGTGATTGATTTTTGAATGACATTGCCAAACAACTTTGCACGAGCAACATCCCTACCAAATTGCTGAAAAGACTCAAGGCTAGATTTGATTGAACTCAGTGTTTGCAAGTTTCAAAATTTGGCAAGACACTTGGATTTGACGTCACATCATGTACAAGGGTGCATACATAATTTATTTGAAGACCACAAATTATATTTGTAGTTTTATATTTGACCCTTCAAAGTTTTTATTTGTTAAGTATTCTAGTTATCTCATCTAAGTTTTTTTTTTTTTTTAACTAAGTATTTTTAAAAAAGCTCTTCAACCATTTTTCAACATTTTCATGACAGTATTTAAAAAATCACAAAGAATTACGAGAGTCTATTATACCTGCTTGCTAATCGCTAGCAATTCTAATGGCCAAATTGTTGCCTTTATTGTTACTAGTTATCTCTAGCTAATTGCAACTAGTTGCTAAAAATAAGTTGTAACTATCGTAGCTACAATTCTACGATAAGCCGCTAACGATATATTGTAGTAATACTGATATCAACGTAGCTACATGTCGTAATAAAATCACAACGTTATCACAAGTTGTTACAAGTGTAATAACTTGTCACAGTATTAAAAGTTTAATTATTATCATAAATTATTAGATGCAGTACTAAAAATAAAATTTTTTAAAACGTAAAAGAAAAAGAAAAATAAAAATAGGAGGAAAAAAATTCCCTCAAAATTTAAGCTAGCTAATCGTTAGCTTATTTCCAACTGGGATGTGCTTACAAATAAATTTGGGTTATTCAGAGTTATGCAAAAAACTGAAAAAATTTACGGTAGACATCTTCAAAATTAAAAAGTAAGTAAGATAGTCAATATTTGTGACTTCATTTTAAATATCAATGTAAATATAGGATCCAATGCAAATACGGAATAAATATTTAAAAAAATTAAGGGCGTTTTTTTGTTTTAAAATTCCTTTTTGTGTTCGTAATTTTTCAGAAAAAATTAAAGTGTATTTGCACATTTATTTCAAAAAATATACTCATAAAAACAACAGGAATTTTTGAAAAAATGTACAAATCGCATTTAATATTAAAAATAGTTGTTTACATTTTATATAATAATATGCTGACTAAACTTTGTAAATAAACTTTATATATATATATATATAAAAAACTTAATAATAAACAAAATTATTTAATCAATTCTTATCAATTTTAACAAATTTGTTTTATCGATTCGTATCAATTTGAACAAAATTATTTTATCAATTTTTAATCAATCTTTGAAATTTTAAATCAATTAAAAATTTAATGTATACACATAAATAACAATTTTGAAACTTAAATTATAAAAATATTAACTGTTTAATCATTAGCTAAGGATATTCTAAGTGTTTTTCTTTTATAACTAATCGAAGTGTTTTTAAACTTATGACAAACCAACTGCTTGTTCTGAAAAAATTCCAAGTTAATAATAACCTTTATTGAAAAAAATTCCAAGTAAATAATAACCTTTATTGTTTGGAAACAATAAAGGTTATTATTTTCAAATAAACTTGTAAATAATAATCTTTATTGTTTGGAAAATAGTTGGAAAAGTTATAACTTGTTATTATTACTACATAAAGTTATTATTACTACAAGTAATTTCAGAATGATTTGCTATATTTAATGATAACCCAATTAAAAGGTTTTTTTTAATTTTTTTAAAAAGCTTTATTTTATAAATTTTTTGGTATTATTTTTAAAAAAGTTTTTAAAACAAACTCCGCATACATTTTTATTATTCATAGCATAACACCAGTTCAAATATAAACATACTCTGGCTGTTCACCAGAATTTTTGCACACTTTGAAACCTCATTACGTAAACTATGTAAATGTGACGTAACATTTAACCATTACGAGTACTTCTGAAAAAAATCCCGTTTCAAAATATGAAACATCACTCACCACAGTTAGTGATAAATTAAGACTTGGGCCAAAGACTATTTTAAAGCAGGAGACCCCTATCTATGTCATTAAGATGGCTCAACTCTATAAAAAATGTAAAAAAAAAATTATAATTTTTTTTTTTTTGCATCTTTATCTAGTTTAAACATTGCAGATTCCAAAAATATATCATTTAAGATGAATTATACGTTTCATTATAAAGAAATTTACGTTTTTATGGTATAGGGTGAATAATGTTATCCATGGCAACACTTTAGCAACCGTGTCAGCTTTGTTTTATTTGCTCATTTTTTGAAACAAATCTTTTAAACTGCAAAACGCATTTCTCAAACTATCTACTTTCTTTTATGGCATTACAAGTTATAGCTTTGACTTTAATGATGGCATTTAAAAAGGAAGAAGTAATGCTGTTTATGTTGTGTTGATGTCAACACAGATGCTATAATGATTTCTTCCAGTATTTTTTATCTATCTCAGTAACACAAATAACTACATTTATTCTTAATATGATATCATGTCGCTAACCGTTTTGATAATTTTCAATTTATAACTGTTGTAAGTATGTTTGAGCGATAAAAATAAATATATATAAAAGAATAAGTGTAAATATATAAAATAAAAAACAAAATGCGTGTTAAGACTTCTACTCATAAAAAAAGTTATACTCTCAATAATATTTATACTATAAAACTCTTTTCCGCAAAAAAAACATTCTTTTGCGGGGGGGCCCAAATTTTGAAGTTCCGCCACTGCCTCTACTTATTGTAATAATATTATAAAAATCTGTAAATGTTTAAAATTTTGTAAAAAAAAATAAAATAAAAAATATTTGAGGGATTTTGTAATGAATATATTAGAGAATTGTTGTTCTAAATAAACTTTCCATAAAATTGTAAATCAGAGCTATAATTAACGAATACAACCTAAACAACGTTATATTTTAAAATAGCGCAAATTTCCGCAACCGCAAATAAATTGTATAGTAATGCGTCACTAAAAATAAGTATACGTAAACAAACAAATACTTTTTAATTGAGGCGTATTATATTTTCTGCATCAATTTAAATTTTTTGAATTAAAAAAATAGGTTTTAAGAAAAAACCTACCTGAAAATGTTTTTAAAACATCAACCTATAATTTTGGATCATTTTAATTATATTTATCAATTTGGTATATTTGTATATTAAGTATATTTTTGACGACAAAGAAAGGACGACAAAAAAAAGTTGAGAAAGAGCTGATGTAATGTGAAGTCCAATCACAACTTTGTCGGCGTACATTAGTTAGGTGACCTAACTAACAGTATGTATTGCACTTTCTAACATCGTGTGCAATCCTGTTCGCTTACTCTATGCTATCTTTTTAACTCGACTACTTCTATCTTTCACTCTAACATATCTTCGTTCTTCCCAAACTCACCTTACTCTCAGTCCGTAGAGCGGGTATGACGCTCCTTCGGGAGCTCAACTAGTCTTTGTGGACTTCTGGTAAAGTGACCTCTATATGGCAATTAGCTGAAGGAGGTTAAACTCTAATACCAGAGTATATTAAGTATATTTGTTTATTTTATTCTTCTTATGATAGTTTTGTTTTTTATAGTGTTTTTTTGGTTACTTATAGGGCAAACTGATAGGACATAATAATTTGATAGATAAAAGAGTGAATTAATAAATATGACTTCTTCATGCAATCGAAGTGTGGCGTTAGCTCTAATTTAGTGTGTTTTTAGTGAGATAAACTTTAAAGCCACATATGAAACGCACCAACGCCATCCCATAAAAGAGAGTGGTAAATATATGGCTAACATGTGCTTCCCACACGTGGGCCACATGTAACTTTCACGCACAAATGAAGCGTTCGTACTTATTAAGTGTGGTTTTAGTGGGATAAACATTATAGCCACATATGGGACGCATCAACGCCATCCCATAAAGGAGAGTGGTAAGCATATGGTTAGCATTCAAATGCCATATATGGCCCACATTAAAATTTCTTGTCGGGATATATTAATAGCTAACTTAGTCAAGAGACATTTTTATTGACTTTTGAAGAATTTATTTATAAAAAAAGGGATAGAGCCACCTTAACTAACTATTAACTTCATTACTTTCTGCATTATCCAAAATATTTGAAAGAATTTTGTACAACAATATTATTTATACGCATCAATTTATTATACTGCAATCAAATATTTTATAAAAAAAAAATTCTTCTGAACTTTTATTTTAATTTAATAGAAACATTAATTATAGGATCTTGTCGCCAAAACCATGTTTATCACCTGTTTCCTAGTAATTTGTACTGTAACCTGCTTCTTCACGCAGCAACCTTGACCGTAAGCGCTTTTAAAAATGAAAAACAAAGACTAAATGCCCCATTTTATTAACATTTGACAGTACCTCTTGACATAATTTAGTTACATACCGTTTATTACAGTTATTATATTGCCATTTATTTATAATCACTTTCGAGTATTCAAATTAAAATTTGATGGAATCTAAAACACTCCAGAAATCGACATAGCAATCAAATACTGAAGTTTTTATTTATATCAGGTTTTTCTAATTTCAGACTGAAGCGTATTATTATAAAAATCATGTGCAAGAAAGTATGCTTAAAACTAATATAAAAAAAATTTACAAAACAATTAGAAAAAAACAAACAATAAAAACGTAATTAAAAATACTTTTTCATTTATAAAAAAATCTATTTTACATTAATGTATAAATGACCATTATCCGATTCACTCTTTCTTTATTCTAATAACCTGATAGCCCTTAGATATTTATGATAATTTAATTATCAATTCTTAAAAAAATTATACAAAATACTTGGTAGGAACAAATGGCAGCTTGACGACTTCGCATTGAAAGTATTTCGACCCTCGTTGTAACTGAAGTTTGGTAGAAATCTTAGACAAAGCAGTTGGTACATAAGCCATTGCAATATTCTGCTGTAATGATGGAGACGGACAACCGCTTGTTACTTCACCTAAAAAAAATCACAATTTTATTATAGTTTAACTTGAATTCAAGAATAGTATAACAGATTTAAGATAATTAATAATATTTTAACAATGCACGTTTTAAATAAATAACTAATATTAATAGAGGCGTAACTTTTGACACCCTTGATTAACTTAATTTCAGCGCCTTTAACAAATTTCAGCTTCGCTACTTTTGCAACCGTTATAAAAAATAATTGAATTTTTCTTTTATGACAATAATGACGTAGTCTGTCAATGACAGTCATAAAACATATCAAAAATGCAAACAGGGACAATACTAATTTACAGTTTATTATTTACTAAATAATACTGTAAATTAGTATTGTCCTCAAGGTAGAAATTTCTACTTTTTTTTTTTAAAAAAAAATTTCTACCTTAAGGTAAGATATATAATATACCCTTAGTAAGGTATAATTTTTTTTCATTCTAAGGTAACTATATTAAAAACAATGATTTGTCATAAAATATTCTACCTTAAAGGTATAATTTTCTAAGTAAATTATTAATACCTTTTTTTTTTACATTGCAAATAAACTGGAGAATATTGAAATGAATTTTGATGCGTTAATACAGCAATAATACTTTTAATAATTTTAGTCCAGATTTAATAAACGAGGGGGAGGGGGATTTTTTATGTACAATATAAGTATTTCTTATAAAAACTTTTAGTTTATAAATCCAAACTAATACTTTTTACTAAACAGGCATAAAACTATTTAAATTTAACGTGACTTGCGGTCAAATGCATTTTCTAACAGCTGTGTTATAATAATTTCAATAGGATTTAATAAGTTTTATACTTAGGTAAGAAATAAATTGAATCATTGTTTTTTAAAAGGGCAGATTTGCTCAAGAAGTTTTGAGCAAATTTGCCCCTTTCAAAAAAAATTGATTCAATTAAAAGCTCATTTTCGATAAACCGGGATTTATTTGGTTGGTGTTTTTTAAAGCCTGTTTACACTGAAAAATTTTGTTTTTATCACTGTAATAAATATTCAAGGCAGATTTTCACCTTTTTTCCCCCCCTCTTTTTTTGATAGCAAGTAAAAATTAATAAACGGGGGGAGGGGGTCTAAATAAGCTTGGGGTGGGTGGGAAAATTTTCCGAAAATTAATAAACGTTCCCCCTCCCACCCCCACCTTGTATTAGCGACTCGAGAGTAATAAAATATTTATCAAATACTCAACAAATAGTAAAACACAAGTAATATAACAGAAAAACCATAAGGACACCGTTTCGCAACGCCAACCAGCTCGATAACTTCAATGCAGTCAACAATACATCTCCCTGACATTCAAAAACAAGTCTTTTATCTATATCAGGATCCCGAAGCGAGCGGAGGACCAAAAAGCAAAGCTAAGACCAAGATGCCGTCAGCTGTGTGAAAATTTGCAAGAAAAGTGTTGCATTTTGGGCGATGGATCGTACTTCACTTTATATTACTCAAATTTCAACGTCAACTGCACTTTTTACAATATCGATGTTTCAGTAACTCCTGCAAAATGACAATTATGACCCAACAGCCAAATACGAGAAGAAACTGCTTGTCTGGCTTTGCTTTTCAGAGCACGGCATTTCAAAGCCTTTCCTCCCAAGCGGCATGGCAATCGATCAGCAGGTCTATATGAGCGTATTCAAAAAAGATTTATGCTGTTCATTGCAGAGCACCACTCAGATAATGCCTTTATGTTTTGGCCTGACCTAGTATCGGCGCATTATGCAAAATCCGTCATTTTCTACCTGGAGGTCAAAAAGGTGAATATCGTCTAAAAAGAAGACAATCCCCCAAATGTTCCAGAATTGTGCCTAATCAATAAACTCTGGAGTATTTTGAAAGGTTTATGCTAAATGAGTTTTATGCTAAGAGTTTGCAGAAAAAAAGTTTAGATCATCTGCGCAAAAAGAAATGCCAAATCAAAAAAAGATCAAAGTCGACATGGTTAGCGCACAACGTCTTTTGCAATAGGCACCATCTTTTGTTGATTCTGTTCAACATCATAGCCTGAGGACATGGCTTTTTTGAAGATCAATAAAACCTTTTACAATAAAGAATATGATGCTCTAATCAAATCTTTTTAGTTTTTTGAAAAATATTGAAAAATGAGGAAGTAACATCTCTTTAAACTTTGGCCCATTTTCAAATTGCCATCCATGATTTAACACAGCATGTTGTTTGAAGTAGAAGTAAATTAGGGAGGCATTTAAAATTGATATAAAATTTTAATAAAATTGTGTGATGCAAATAAAAAATCGGACTGTTGGTATATCAATATATGACTTAATTTTATAGCTACATAGATTATAACAGTGTAAAACTAATTCCTAGATAATCAAACACAAAAAACTTAAAAATAGTCACCCTCCTTACTAGATAATCTGTATCCGCCCCTGGTTCCAAGTTGAAACCAACTTGGATAATATTGAAAAACCATTAGAATGTGTTATTTGCAACAACTGAGATTTTTAGAAATTTAACCTATAAAATTGATAATTTTATAGATCTATTTCTGTATTTTTTGCTTTAACTTACCTATTTTATTGCCATGTAAATCCATAACAGGCGTGTGACCTAAAATAAATCAAATAAAAAATTACCTGAACTTGAGTATATAATAATATTACAAAATTTTAAAAACACTAAAACCTCTTGCAGGTGGTCCATGCGCAATAAGTCCAACTCTTTTTATTTCTGGCTTGTTTTTAATTTGATTTAATACAATATCAGCACCTGGAAAATCTCTTGCTTCCATTCTTTGTTTTCCTAAATTTTAATTTCATGTAATTAAATGTTCCTTCATAATTACAATTTTGTTTACACACACAAAAAAAAAACTTAAGAAATGTATTAAAACTTTGAATCATATAAAGTTTTATATTCATACCCCACTTTCAGTATTAAAAAACAACAAAACTATTTTATAAAACTATTAAAACTGTTATAAAATTGCATTCAATAGTATGTAATGCTATAAAAATTTAAAAGCAACAATAAATATTCTGTTTGTAATCCTATAAAATTTTAAAAGCAAATGCAACAAAACTAAATATTCTATTTGAAACATATATGCATATAAACATAAAACAGACAAACTTATTATATCATATATATGGTATATATACTACCATTTATATGGTATATATATATATATATATATATATATATATATATATATATATATATATATATATATATATATAGTAATTACCATATATATGGTATATATGTATGTACCATGAGTACTAATATACATATGGTATACTATATATAGCCCTCGCAGTTTTAAGTTGGCAAAAAATTGTTGACCTTTAATCTATGTTTTATGGTAAAACCTTTATATTAAATTGTCTTTTGGTCGAAAAGGTTGTAACTTTAATTGTATTAATGTAAAAAAAAAGAAGTATAAATCACCAATTGTCCACATAAGACCAGCTTCAATTGGAGTTGTTTCTTCACTGATATCATTTCCATACAAACAAAGACCTGCTTCTAAACGTAAAGTGTCTCTAGCTCCTAAACCAGCAAGTTTTACATCTGCGGTTTTTATGCCAAGTAGATTGTCAGCTATATTCTCTACTTTTTCGGATGGAATAGAGACCTAAAAAAAATTAGAATTCTGTATATATACCTTCAACTCCTAAAATAGGTTAAAACTTTTAGTTTTGATTTGAGGACAACCTTTAAGAACTATTGGGTTGTAACATAAGTTCGTAGAGTTTTGCGTTAGAGTTATTTTTTATAACAAAAAACAATAATTATAAGAATAAATTAATCAATGATATATTCTCCGTTACTGTTTATGACCTCCTCCCATCTCTCGACCAATTTGTTGATGCCGTTTCGCCAAAAATAGGTCGGTCTGGTGTCGAAGAAGTTGTTGAGCCAGTTTTTAAGATCCTCTTCGCCATCAAAGGTAACACCCCTCATTTGGTTTGATAGAGAGCGGAAAAGGTGATAGTCGGTAGGCGCAAGATCTGGAGTGTACAATGGATGCTGAAGAACCTCCCATTCAAGCTCTTGGAGTGCTGTTTTGATGACATGGGCAATATGGGGCCTGGCATTGTCGTGGAGCAAGATGATTTGACCTTGTCTATCGGGTTTTTTCAGCCGAATAGCCTCATTTACACGGTTCAGCTGGGCAATGTAGACCTCCTTGTTGACAGTGGCGTTTTGTTTGAGCATTTCCCAGTGCACCATGCCTTCCCAGTCTCACCAAACGCAGATCATGGCCTTTTTTGGGTGAAGATCTTGCTTGATTCTCGGCTTCGTCGTCTCTCCTAGGGCCACCCACCCCTTTCTTTGCTTCACATTGACGTACAGACACCATTTCTTATCTCCCGTGATGATTCAATACAAAAAGCGCTGTTTGTGTCCATGTATTGCTCGGTGGCAGGCGAGATGTTGAGTAGCAATTTGAAGGGGTTTTTCTTTGTTTTCTTCGTTGAGCTCGTGAGGTAACCATGCTCCGAGTTTTTGAGTAAAACCAATTGATTGAAGGTGGCAAGAGATTGTCATTGGACTGATGTTCATTTTTTCAGCCAATTCACGAGTTGTTTGGCAACCATCTTCCTTCAATAAAGCCTTCAGATGCTCTTCGCCAAATTCTGCAGGTCATTCGCTTCGAGGCGTGTCTTCAAGGTCAAAGTTGCCATTTTTAAACTTTGCGAACCATTTTTGTGCAGTAGACAAACCTAAGACACCTTCCCCGTACACACTGCATATGTCCCGAGTGGCTTTGGCTGCTTTTTGACCTCAATGAAAAGCAAAGAAAAGAATTGTCGAAAATGCTGATTTTTTCCTCCTGGGTATTCCATTTCTGAGCCACAAAAAAGACGAAAAATTAAATTATTAAAAAAAACAAATAAAACCGTTTTGTAGACGAGAAAGAGCTCTTACAAATGAATGTATGCACTTTGCTAAAAAACAAAACAAATTGTTGTAAAATAACTCTAACGCAAAACTCTACGAACTTATGTTACAACCCAATATTTTCCTGATTTAATTTTTTTTTAAACTGTATAAAGTTTTTAACTCAGACACACACACACACACACATTTTTTTTTTAACAATTTTAAATATAATTATGTCAAAAATTTTCTTAGCCTCTCTGAGTTAATTAATTAGTACTTTTCCATCTGTTTAATGATTTTTTTTCACCCAATAGTTCAACGTAAAATAAATAAATTAAAATTGCTATCCTAAACATGATCCAATTTTAAATAGCTATTCTCCTGATATATACATGCAAAAATATTATTTTATAAATATAATTTTCTCCCAACTAGCAATTTTAGCATGGCCAAGTGGATAACTTCAGACTAGTAAACCAAGGGTTCGAGGTTCATCTCTCGGTGTTGAAATTCTTTTAAATTTTTTATAGTTAGTGCAGAAAGATTCTTTAAAAAAGTCTTCTCTACATTAGAAACTAAAAAAAAAAATGTTGTGTTTCAAAATTGGAGACCCCTCCCCCTTATAACAAATTGCCAAAAAATGGCCTACCCCTACCCCCTCCTTTAAACATGACGTAATTTATGGACCCCTTCACTTGCACACCATCCATATATCAAGCCAATTAAAATATTTGCACTACAACTCGGTATATCGCAAAAAGTAGACAAAAAGAACAATTGTTAATGGACCGTTGAAGACCATGTATGGCATATCCTGCTTTACAAGAATCAGCAGGATAACTTAGCAGCAAAAACAATAACAAATATATGCAATTGAATAAGTTAAAGCTTGATGTTTGAGGTAACAGTAAACCATTGATTTAATACTTTTGTAGCAAAAACTTAATGTTGCAAGATCAACCAAGATCCGAAAGACAAATGGATTTGGAGCAGTTAAAGCAGCTAATATATAGCAACCTTAACTATATTGATTAACCAACAACTATGTACTGTTTAGCAGATGAACTTGAAATGTTCATGGTAATATTATTCCCTAGTATCATGCTATTGAATCATATCTATAAAATAATTGCAGTTTTGTTTTGTAGTAATAGTATCAGAAATAGTAATCACTTGCACATTACTCTATAATAAAATATAATTACACAAGTATAATATAACTAGGTTATCATATATTGTGCAGTGCACTGTTGCAGTCTACAAAAGATATCTTTAATAATAACAGAAAATTAACAAGTTTCTATGTTTTATGACCTTTGTCTATGGCGTATGATTTAACGCATGGCCAATTGGCATGGACCATTCCATGGAAAGGTAAAATAATGCATTCATAAAGTTATTTTTTTAAAATAATGCATTAACAAAGTTAGACATTTACATAATGCATTCACTAAATAACTTTGTGAATGCATTATGATGTCTATCTTTCAATGCGTTTATTTAATTTTTATCAATTTTTTAAACTTATTTTACAGATTGCATCATGACAACTTTTTGGCTTGTTGACATGACTACTACTTGGCTTCATTAAAATTTTAATGAAGCACATTAAAGCTAAACTTATCCATTTAGCTTTAAATACTTACTTAAGTTGATTTCAGGAGAAGAATCTTTTTAAAAGATTTAATGTTATTAATTAATCTTTAAAACTGAAATTAAATACTGTTTTTTTAAATAAAATATATTATTTTAAGAAAGATCAATCTAACTTATATAAGGTTTATATTACTATAACATTTTATTTTTATTACAAAATTTCTAATTTTAAAACCAATTGCATGTTTTGCAACTAACTGTATATATATATATATATATATATATATATATATATATATATATATATATATATATATATATATATATATATATATATATATATATATATATATATATATATATATATATGTATATATATATATATATATATATATATATATATATATATATATATATATATATATATATATATATATATATATATATATATATATATACAGTTAGTTGCAAAACATGCAATTGGTTTTAAAATTAGAAATTTTGTAATAAAAATAAAATGTTATAGTAATATAAACCTTATATAATATATATATAAGGTTATATATATATATATATAACCCTCGGAATTAGAAAAAATAAGTATAGGCAATATTTTGCCAACCTCAAACACTTTTTGGTCAGCAGTTAGGTCAACATTGCCAAATGCCGACCCTAATTCCGAGGGTTGTATGTATATATATATATATGTATATATATATATATATATATATATATATATATATTTACTTTTGAGCTATTTATATATATATATATATATATATATATATATATATATATATATATATATATATATATATATATATATATATATATATATATATACTTTAGAGCTATTTAAATACAACAATCTGGTTTTTTTGACAATAAACCTTATCATATGGTACCCATATCTGTTGGTTTTACCAAAAGATTAAACTTGGGTGAAGAAAAAAAGCTTTATTGTCAAAAAAACCAGATAGTTGTATTTAATCCCATATGTTGTATTTAATCCCATATGATATGGGATTTGTCCGGTAATCTGTTATGGGATACATAAGGGCTTTTTTCGTGGGATCTGTATGGGAAATAAATGAATAATTGGTATCGAGGCAGATTTAAACAATTTAAAATCAAAATGATTTGAAGCTTTTTTTTTTTTTTTTTGCTTCCAACAAGGCTGCAAGCAACTACTAATTAGTATTGGAAGTTACTAGAAGAGAAAAGATGAAGATTGTAGAGCAAGATAACCATTGACAGATGACTTAAAAGATTGCAAATTATATGAATCAGGAAAGCAAGGTGAAGGAAGTGAATTCCAAAGAACTGATGTTCCAGGAAAAAAAACTAGAGGTATGAGAGTTTTTGGAGCACATAGGAACAGTCACAGAAAAAGGATGAGACTTGATTGAATGTAACACAAGAATGAATTTTAGTAGATGGCACAAGAGACAGTAGCTCTTTGGAGCAGTGCCCATTATAGTATTTGTAAAAAAGAGAAAGAGAAGCAACATTATGACGATGTAATAATGGTTTAAGGTTGGCTGCAAGAGCAAGTCTAACTATATTTACAATGCGTTTTTGCACCTTGCCTAAAAGAGAAAGGGCATCATTAGAAGATCCACCCCAGATATGGCAACAGTATTCCATGCAAGGCCGGATTTGAGATATATAGAGATAGATAATAGAATCAAGTAAGAAAGTGTCAAGCTCGATAAAGAGATGCAACTTTAGCAGATGCAAATTTTGCAACGGTTTGATATAAGGTTTCCAAGAAAGATCAGAAGTAAGAGTTAATCCTAGAAGATGAAGGTTAGGAGACTCATCAAGTACATTACCGTTCATAAATATAGGAAGGTCTAAATTATTGCGATAACAATTGGCTGAAAAAATTGAGTTTAATCTGAATTAAAGTTCACCAGCCACTGTGAGCCCCATGCTGTAGCAGAAGTGAGATCCTTTTCAAGCTCAGATGCCCCCTGCAAGCAATCAGAGAGAGTTGGCTTCTTATCATGACAAGAATAAATGGTAGTATCATCAGCGAACAATGCCACCTTAGATGAGAGGATATCTGGAAGATCGTTAATGTAAATTAAAAAGAGTATAGGGCCAAGGATTGAACCTTGAGGAACCCCTTAAGTTACAGAATAAGAA